CCACCCTCCAAAAATAATGTTAATCTTAATAGTTTGGGGTATACCTTTCCGGTCCTTTTGATACCTAAATACATATATATACGTGTATGTATGTTTATCTTAAAAATAGGACCATAGTATGCCTATTGTTTTGAAACCTGAATTTTTTACTTAAGTGGTCATCTCTCAATATCAATATGTATAGGTCTACCTCTGTTTTTTTAATGGCTGTGTAGTCTATTTAAACAATGCTTTAGTGGAGGGCATTTAGATTGTTTTCAGTGTTTCCAGGCTACACAAAACTCTCTAATGACCATCTTTGCACATATGTATGTATCTTTGTGCATTTTTCTGATAAATTCCTTAGAATACACGCCTAGGAATGGAATTGCTGAGTCAGATTATGTACCTTTAAAATATCGATACATTGCTAACATGCTCTCTGGAAAGGTTAATCAGCTTTTAACTGTAATCAGCTTTAAATTACATCAACAGTATAGGGTAGTGCCCGCTTCTCAATTTCATAGCTACAGTTGATATTTATGGTTTTTAATTTCTGACAAGCTGGTAGGTGAAATAAAATCTCATCTTTGTAATAAATCGTGCTTTTTAAAAACTGGTGAGATTATTTCAATTTCATAGCTACAGTTGATATTTATGGTTTTTAATTTCTGACAAGCTGGTAGGTGAAACAAAATCTCATCTTTGTAATAAATCGTGCTTTTTAAAAACTGGTGAGATTATTTAGTTTATGAACTTTGTCAGTATTTCTATTGCAGTATAGGTTTAAATGTAATGTTCTGTGGCTTTATAGTCATTATTTATTAAGGTTATTTTTCTTCCTTTTTCTAAATTTCTACATTTTAATTTCTAGTTTTAGGAGATGGAGGACTGTATCTGACAAACCTAAATGATAGCTCATCCAGCACTCTGCATGATGCCTTTGAAATGGTAAGGAATGATTGACTCCAACGTTGAATTCTAGCAGGAAGATTATCTTGATGAATTTGTTGCCATCGATCTAGTTTTTTCTCAATTATTTGAGTTATAGATACAAAATTTACTAAAATATCCATGAAGGAACTTAAGGTTTCTTGCACATTTCATTTTGTATCTTATCATATTTGTGAGAATGCAAAGAAAATTTCCATTAACCTCTGTGGCTCCGGTAGTTGGAAAATACAGTTAATGTTATTAGGTAATGAAATCTAGCTCAGTGCAACTTGTCACCTGGTTATATTGTCTTTATAATATTTAAAGTAGGCTCTTGCTGTTTAAACCAATTCTCTTATTTGTTATTTTTCCCTAACTATGATTATAATTCTTTGTGCTAATAAATATTTAAATTTAATGGTTTAAAAAGAAAAGCTGAAATAGGATCCAGGTATACTAACCCTTCCTAGTTTATTATCTAGCTCTATAGAAAACATAATTGGCAATTAAAATATCACATATATATTATATATATATAACATAATGTTATACAGAAATTATCTAGGAATTTTCTTTTGAAAAAACTGTTATGGAATAGAAATCTTTACTTTTTATATATTTTCAAACAACCTAAGCAAGGAAAGGTAATTGTATTCAACAATCATCTACATTTACCCATATCCTTTGCTAAGCATTGCTGTTATTGTTGCTGTTTTTTAAAAAAATGTTATTTTATCCAGGAGTATGAAAGTACTTTGTTAATGAGTTTTTTGGTAAGATTTTTAATGGAACAATTAACTTTTTAATAGTGATTATTTATTGGAAGTTACTTCTTGGGTCTATTGTGAAGAGAGTGTAATCCCTTTTTCAAAATAATATGGGGAAAAGGCATAAATGAGATATCTTTATTTTTAGAGAAGCTTGTACCAACATTTGTTCTATTTAATATGCCATTATAGCACTTTTATGCATTCTTAGAACTTTATTAGATGCCAAAGCAAGTTTAAGTTTCTTTAAAGTAAATAGCTAAATTGAACCAGAACTAAATTATAACTTCTTTTTCTACATTTGAAACGAAATTCTAATTTTGATATTTTTATTATGCCTAAATCAGATATGCTGCAAATTCATAAGACCCAAATGCAAAAGTATAATCTGGAAAACTCCAGAATAACTTGAAGTTGTCATGTACCAGTAGGCAATTTTTTATATACAGCTGGAGGATATGAATTTATAATCCAGCGTTAAGAAACTCTATTAAAAATAAAATAATTTAAAGTGATTTTAATGAATTTAATTTAAAATGGAAAATACTTTTAATGGATTTAAAATTTACAAGGGAGTCCAGTTCGTCTGACTCTGAGGCCCATATTCTTCCTCGTTTTGG